AAACTAAAGGACACTGCCCACCAAACCCTTCCAGTATTTTCTGTTGAGCATGGGAGAACTGTGTGCCAAGTTTGCTTCAATTCCATCGTTGGTGGGGTTCAGAATGTTCTTTGATTGTAGGTGAACTATACATCCCAGCAACTACAACTCCCAAATGACAAAATCAATTTTTTTTGAGTGAAGGACATACATTGGCCTGATAGGCGTATTGTGTCCAAATTTGGTGTCAGTTCGTCCAATAGTTTTTGAGTTATGTTAATCCCTCAAACGAACATGACATTTTTTAATATAGATTTCAATCCACAGTGCCTTTAGACTCAAATGTTAGCACTGAGCAAGTAGGGAGAGAAGAAAACTTGGGTGTTCATCCGCACTATGCAATTATACTGCTATTATCCCACTTTTAACTGCCGTGGTTCCATTCTGTGCAATCCTGAGATGTGCCATTTAGAAATTCTCAGTTAGAGAGCTCTAGTCCTCTCCAAATGACTATAGAACTATATTCCTCTTTGCAATGACATTCAAAGTGGAATATGGTCCTATAATAGTGTCAACCAGGAAGGGAAACTGAATGCAAAGTACTGTACATTGAATAAAGAAAACTGCTTCCTTTTTTTCTGTGATCCAATAGGTCTTTAATTGCAGTGACTCAATGATGTGGAATCCTGGGATCTGTAGTTTTCCTTGCCCAAGAATGCCTCACCAAACTACAAATCTCAGGATTCCACTGCCCCAAGCCATAGCAGTTGAAGTGCTGTCAAAACTACATTAATTCTACCGTGTAGAAGCACCTCTAGTCCCGAAAGTCCCAACATGTTGGGTTGTAATAATATCCTTCTACCTTATAGAGTTGTTGGAAGGATCATTTAGCATATTCAACTGTTTACCTGCATAATATGGGTGCATTGTTTAAAAGCCTTTTGAGAAGCTAGAATGCCTTAACATAGGTTCCTCTCCTATGAAAAGATAAGATTGCTTAAGCTATTGAGAGGGGAAATTTTCTGGTAGAGTTGCAATTGCTATAAATACCCTCCTATGGTTTTTCAAAGTGTTGCAAATTGCAAAGACCTAAGGTTTAAACTACATATTTCAGTATGTAATAGGTAGTTTAAACCTTAGGTCTTTGCAAACACCTGCTGGTCTTTGAAGACCGACAAGTCGCAGGTTCGAATCCGGGGAGAGCACAGATGAGCTCCCTCTGTCAGCTCCAGCTCCTCATGCAGGGACTTGAGAGAAGCCTCCCACAAGGATGATAAAACATCAAAAAACATTCGGGTGTCCCCTGGGCAACATCCTTGCAGATGGCCAATTCTCTCACACCAGAAGCGACTTGCAGTTTCTCAAGTCACTCCTGAAACGACAAAATCTATATAAATAAAAATGTAATGTTAGTTCGTGCTACCATCAGAACGCAAAAGCCACTGGGGGAACTGACACCAAATTTGGACACAAGACACCTAACAGTCCAATTTATGTCCTCCACTCAAAAAAACTGATTTTGTCATTTGGGAATTGTCGTTGCTGGGATTTATAGTTTACCTACAATCAAAGAGCATTCTGAACTCCACCAACAATGGAATTGAACCAAACTTGGCACACAGTTCTCCCATGACCAACAGAAAATACTGGAAGGATTTGGTGGGCAGTGTCCTTTGGTTTTGGAGTTGTAGTTCACCTACATCCAGAGATCACTGTGGACTCAAACAAGAACACTGGTGGAGTTTGGGAGTTTGGGGGAAATAGAACCTTGACATTTGGGAGTTGCAGTTGCTGGGATTTATAGTTTACTAGCTGTGCCCTGCCACGCGTTGCTGTGGCCTATAGTAAAACTTATCAAAGTTGAGGTAGATATCTGGACTATTATGTGTGTGCAGCGGCGGGGGAATGATGGAGCCTGGGGTTGCGTGTGTGTGTGCGGCGGCGGGGGGAGTGGGGTTGCGTGTGTGTGTGCGGCGGCGGGGGGAGTGATGGAGCGTGGGGTTGCGTGTGTGTGTGCGGCGGCGAGGGAGTGATGGAGCGTGGGGTTGTGTGTGTGTGCGGCGGCGGGGGGAGTGATGGAGCATGGGGTTGCGTGTGTGTGTGCGGTGGCGGGGGGAGTGATGGAGCGTGGGGTTGTGTGCGTGCGGCAGGGGGTGTGTGTGTGCAGGAAGCGGCACGGCGGGGCTTGGAGTGGGCATGGCTTCTGCAGAGGGAACGTAGGCTTGAAGGCTGTGTGCGCGCGCCAGGGAACTTGCGGCTGGGCACCAATGCGCATGCTCAGTTGTTTTGCCGTTTTGTGAGTGTGTTGTTGTGTTGTTTTTCATTTTGAGTAGATAAGTTTGTACCTTGTGAGTTGTGTTATGGGCATGGGAATTTTGGTTAAGTTTCGTTGGGGGGGTTTGTGAGTTTTGTTGTTTTGCTGTTTTGTGAGTGTGTTGTTGTGTTGTTTTTCATTTTGAGTAGATATGTTTGTACCTTGTGGGTTGTGTTATGGGCATGGGAATTTTGGTTAAGTTTTGTTGGGGGGTTGTGGAGTTTTGCTGTCCGGTTGAACCAACCTAACAGATTTATATATATAGATAGTTCGCCTATAATCACAGAGCATTGTGAACCCCACCAACAATAGAATTGGGCCAAGCCTCCCACACAGAACCCCCATGTGGGCCACAGCAACGCGTGGCAGGGGACGGCTAGTAAATAAATAAATATTGTCAAAGGCTTTCATGGCTGGAATCACTAAGTTCTTGTGGGTTTTTTCGGGCTATATGGCCATGTTCTAGAGGCATTTCTCCTGATGTTTCGCCTGCATCTATGGCAAGCATCCTCAGAGGTGAGGTCTGTTGGAACCCCCCCCCCCCTTTTTCCCTGTTCCAACAGACCTCACCTCTGAGGATGCTTGCCATAGATGCAGGCGAAACGTCAGGAGAAATGCCTCTAGAACATGGCCATATAGCCCGAAAAAACCCACAAGAACTTAATAAATAAATATGTTGGACTCTTTCTTTGGGTGTTTGCTCCCATCTAGTGGTGAGAAATGAGTCATACTCTGCTTTATTTCCTTAGGCATTTGTATCTCATTTGCTTGCTGATACAGATTAGAATTATACAGGCTAGAAGCAGCCAGGCTTTGAAGCTGCAAGGCCATTCAGTAGTAATCTAGGTGGCCAATTGCAAAATTCACACTTGCCTCCAGCAGACAAGAGCTCTTTCTCTCACCCTGGACATTCCACGGATATATAAACATCACTTGCCTAGTTGGCTTTTGAAGTACCGCAAGTTTAATTGCATTTAAAAACACACACATATTTTGGGTTGCTGTGAGTTTTCCGGGCAGTAGGGAAATGTTCCAGAAGCATTTTCTCCTGATGTTTCACCCACATCTAAGAAAGGCATCAGAGATTGTGAGGTCTGTTGGAAACTAGGCAAGTGGGGTTTATATATCTGTAGAATGTCCAGGGTGGGAGAAAGAACTCTTGTGTGGGTTGTTGTAGGTTTTTTCGGTTTATATGGCCATGTTCTAGAGGCATTCTCTCCTGATATTTCACCTGGATCTATGGCAAGCATCCTCTGAGAATGCCTGCCATAGATGCAGGTGAAAAATTTATTTATTTATTTATTTACAGTGTTTATATTCCGCCCTTCTCACCCCGCAGGGGACTCAGGGCGGATTACAGTGTACACATATATGGCAAACATTCAATGCCAATTTTAACATACAACATATACAGACATACACAGAGGCTATTTAACTTTTTCTGGTCACCAGGGAAGCTGCCGCTTTAATCGTCCATCTGTGACGCCGATGAAGCACTTCCACATTCCCCGCATGCTTCCCCGCTGGAATGCTTTACTGGAGTCTTCTTTATGTCCTCATAAATCAGTTAATTTAGCCTCCCCACACTTTAAGGTGGTACCTAATTTTCCTACTTGACAGATGCAACTGTCTTTCGGGTTGCAAAGGTCGACAACAGGCTACACACAATTGGTTGGAAACCCACTCCAACCTGGGCTGGCTTCGAACTCATGACCTTTTTGGTCAGAGTGATCTTAATGCAGCTGACACTCAGCCAGCTGCGCCACAATCCCGGTGATAGAATGCCTCTAGAACATGGCCATATAGCCTGAAAAAACCTACAACAACCCAGTGATTCCGGCCATGAAAGCCTTCGACAACTCTTGTGTGCTTGAGACAAGTGTGAATGTTGCAATTGGCCACCTTGATTAGCATTGAATGGCCTTGCAGCTTCAAAGCCTGGCTGGTTGTGGCCCGGGGATCTTTTGTTGGGAGGTGTTAGCTGGCCCTGATTGATTCCTGTCTGGAATTCCCCTGCTTTTTTCAATGTTGCGCTTTAATATTTACTGTCCTGATTTTAGAAAATACTTCCAAGCGTCACTAGGTGGCGCTATAAGATACACATTTAATAGGATGTCTGATGTCCTGCAATTCAACGTGGCACAAACTAATTGAGGTTGGTATAGAATATTTTTAGAGAACTAGTTATCGTGTCTGGCTCGTTGGTCTAGGGGTATGATTCTCGCTTAGGGTGCGAGAGGTCCCGGGTTCAAATCCCGGACGAGCCCTGTTTTTAGCTGGCCCAGGTTGTTTCATGCTTGATTTTTCCCTGTTTTTTGAGTGTTGCACTTTATTTACTGTGCTGATTTTAGAGTAGCCAGATTTTGTTCATTTTCATGGATTTCTCCTTACTGTAGAAATTGTCCACATGCTTCTTGTGGATTTCAATGACTTCTCTGTGTAGTCTGATATGTTGGTTGTTAGAGTGGTCTAACATTTCTGTGTTCTCAAATAATATACTGTGTCCAGGTTGGTTCATCAGGTGCTTTGCTATGGCTGACTTCTCTGGTTGAATTAATTAGTTAAAACATATATATTTTGTTTTAATTTAGGTACTTTTAACTGGATTGCAATTTTTGCAAGCGGTCGCAATTTCCAGTATTGGCAAAAACTTCCAGGAAATAATATTGTAGGAATAATAATAATGAAAACTATGTCATCTTTGCAGATTTACCTATGAAGACATGAAGAAGACGGCGGACTGGCTGTTATCCAAGACGAAACACCGCCCCAAAGTTGCCATCATCTGCGGCTCGGGCCTCGGAGGGCTGGCTGATTTGCTGAAGGACCAAGTTTCCTTTGAATATTCCAAGATCCCCAACTTTCCCCAGAGCACAGGTAAACAAAGTATTAAAACAAGTCTGGCTGTACTGCCCAGCAAGGGACCCCAAGGGGTGAAAGAAAGCTAGAGGGAGAAAGAGGCTGCTGTGCAAGTCAGTAGCCACTAGGGGGAGCTGGTAAGAATTAACCCTTTCCTTCCCTCCTTTCAGTGGTTGGCCATGCTGGCAAGTTGGTGTTTGGAAACCTCAGTGGCACTCCCTGTGTTGTGATGCAAGGCCGCTTCCATATGTATGAAGGCTACCCACTCTGGAAGGTGAGTTGCTCCACAGGAGCTCATAAAATTATAAGAGACCATCCAGTCCAACCTCCTACAGTGCAAGAAGACACAATCCAAACACTCCCAACAGATGGCCATCCAACCTCTGCTTTCAAAACCTTTTTTGAAAAACCCAGGGTCACAGTGTTTCAAGGAAACGAATATCTAATCACCAATAATTACACAAACCCCTCCAACAATATGCAGAGTACTTTTAAAGCAGTTTTTGGTCCTGATTGAGCTGGGGTTGAATGATTTGGCCATTTCTTTCTCACCTAAAATGTAACGGTGACCTATCAGGGAGATACGGTAGACCAGGGATCCTCAAACTAAGGCCCAAGGGCCGGATACGGCCCCCCAAGGTCATTTACCCGGCCCTCAGGGTCAACCTAAGGCTGAAACTACTTGAAAGCACACAGCAGCAACAACAACAACAATCCTAACTCATCAGCCAAAAGCAGGCCCACACTTCCCATTAAAATACTAATAAGTTTATATTTGTTAAAATTGTTCTTCATTTTAATTATTGTATTGTTTTAAAGTGTTTTTTTGCACTATAAATAAGGTATGTGCAGTGTGCATAGGAATTCATTCATATTTTTTTTCAAATTGTAATCCGGCCCTCCGACAGTTTGGGTACTTTGACCTGGCCCTCTGTTTAAAAAGTTTGAGGACCCCTGTGGTAGACTCTCACTTTAGCCACTGGCAAAAAAATGAAGAAACAATACTTTAAATAAAAATAAAACCACAGAGCTGTTTTTATAATTGTATTAATAGTTATCAAGTCAATACAGAGTTTATGGTGTGGTATAATATGGTTCCTATTATTAATAGTAACTCTCAAGAAACTACCTTTATCTGGCATCTACCAATGCCAATGAGTGCTGGTGAATTGAGAGTCTACTTACTGTATGTGGTCCCTGTAGAATCCTAGAGTTGGAAGAGACCTCGTGGGCCATCCAGTCCAACCCCCTACCAAGAAGCAGGAAAATCACCTTCTAAGCACCCCTGACAGATTTCCATCCAGCCTCTGCTTAAAAGCCTCCAAAGAAGGAGCGTCCGCTACACTCCGGGACAGAGAGTTCCACTGTTGAACAGCTCTCTCTCACAGTTAGGAAGTTCTTCCTAATGTTCAGGTGGAGTTTCCTTTTTTTCCTGTAGTTTGAAGCCATTGTTCCATTGCGTCCTAGTCCTCCAGGGCAGCAGAAAACAAGCTTGCTCCCTCTTCCCCATGACTTCCCCTCACATATTTATACATGGACCTCATCATGTTTCCTCTCAGCCTTCTCTTCTGCAGGGTAAACATCCCCAGCTCTTTAAGCCATTCCTCATAGGGCTTGTTCTCCAGACCCTTGATCATTTGAATTGCCCTCCTCTGGACACATTCCAGCTTGTCAACTTCTCCCTTCAATTGCAGTGCCCAGAATTGGACACGTGTGATTCCAGGTGTGGTCTGACTAAGGCAGAATAGAAGGGTAGCATGACTTCCCTGGATGTAGACCATATTATTATTATTTTGTATCAAAAGCATTGCATAAATTAGTATAAAACCGATAAAATAGAAGGTATGCAGGCGGCGAAATATCTTTTGACCAAAAACGGGCAACAGCAATGGCATTGTCTGTAGCCTCCAACAATTCCTCCTCTGTACATGAGGCAGGGCACAACGGACAAGCATACAGATGCAGAGTTGTCTGTTCTGCTCCACAGTCACACAAGGTGTGGGATTCTTTTAGGTAGTGCCAATTTACCAGGTTGTCTTTTGATCTGCCCACTCCGTTTCTGAGTCTATTCAGGGACTTCCAGGTTGCCCATTCTTGGTTTGCCCCTGGAGGAGTGAGGATATATTATGGGAGAGATTATGTACTACAAACAGACCTAGGACTTATCTGTTCTGCCTTGCTCTGATTCCAGCACCGGAGAAGCCTGCCCACCTCTCACTCTTGCCTTTTTTTCCATTCCTCTTCCCAGGTGACCTTCCCAGTCCGAATCTTCCATCTCCTTGGCGTGGAGACCCTCATTGTGACCAATGCTGCTGGAGGGCTCAACCCTGAGTACAAAGTGGGAGACATCATGGTGATCCGGGATCACATCAACATGCCTGGGTTCGCTGGGCAGAACCCACTGGTGGGACCCAATGATGAAAGGTACGGTGGATAACTCCTCTTTTGTCTTTAGATGACTCTCCTTGTGTGACTCAATGAGGTTCTGAGGTGCAATGCCATGGGCCTGATGTTCTTACATGGAAGGGAGTAAGAATCCCATTTCTTTAAATATCACATCCCACAGTTTTAAATGAGCAGAGCTTGAGATACTGATCCCGGTATCTGCCAAGGATGCTGAGAAGCATTATCCCAAACACAATTATGAAATCTTTCATAATTCATAACCTTCAGCAAATCACACACTCTCAGTCTCACCGGATGACAAACGCTAGCCCACTCTGAATAAAAGTTACCAAGAAAACTCCATGATAGGTTCCGCTAAGAGATAAGTTGGAAATAACTTGAATCACCCAACAACAACAACAACAACAACAACACTCCCCTGGGGCCCCTATGTGGCTAGTGGTTGGAGTAGAGTACAACTTCTAGATGCCGGAAATAGAAAAGATGGGGAAAGCCTTTACCTCTGTTTATTTTTTGTCTGTCCTTGTTAATTGTATAACAACATTGAATGTTTGTCATATATGTTTTCTGTAATCCGCCTTGAGTCCCCTTGGGAAGATAGAGCGGAATATAAATAAAGTATATTTAACAGTATTTATTTATTTACAGCATTGATATGCCGCCCTTCTCACCCCGAAGGGGACTCAGAGCTGCTTAAAAGATATATTTTCATACAATATATTATATTATTAGCATAGTACAATATCAGTATTATATATTACTATATTGCACTATACCATTATATTGTAATATTATTAGTAATATTACATGTAATGTAAATATATAATTATAATTATGAATCAGGGGAAAAGTACAAGAATGTGTTTGCAGCTAACGGTATGTGCTATGCTATTATATGACTTCCAAAGGCTGCTGCTTCACTTGGTCTAATTACGGGGCAGTCTTCTATTATTATTATTACTTGATACACAACAAGATTAGTACACAGCAAACAAGATCACTATGCTGGCTTTTTTTTAATCACACGTCAGAAACTTCCCGAGTGTCTGGGACTGTGTGATGTATCGGCGAATAATGTGTGTGGATCCAAGTAGGGTAGCTTTTTGCAGCTGACAGTCTTCTATTATTATTGGAAACACAATAAGATGAGTCCACAGCAAACAAGATCACTATGCTGGTTGTTGTATTGGATCACACATCAGACACTTCCCAAGTGTCTAGGACTATGTGATGTATCAGTGAATAATGTGCGCAGATCCCAGTAGGGTGGCCTTTTGCAGCTGACAGATGGTAATTTTGTCAGAGCCAATTGTGTTTAAGTGCAGGCCAAGGTCTTTAGGCACTGCACTCAGTGTGCCGATCACTACTGGGACCACCTTGTCTGTCTTGTGCCAGAGTCTTTGCATTATTATTATTATTATTATTATTATTATTATTATTATTATTATTACTAGCTGTACCCACCACGTGTTGCTGTGGTCAACCTTCCCTCTTTCTCTCCTTTCCCTTCTTCCTTCCTTCCTTCCTTCCTTCCTTCCTTTCCGTCTTCTCTTCTTCCTTCCTTCTCTATCTCTTTCCTTCCTTTCCCCCTTTTCTTTCTCTTCTGCTGTCTCTCTTTTCTTCCTTCTCTCTTTCCTTCTTTCCTTCCCTCCCTCTTTCTCTACATCTTCCCCCTTCCTTCGCTCCCTCTTTCCTTCCTTCTTTCCCTTTTTTCTTTCCTTCTCTCCTTTCTTTCTTTTCTTTCTTTCCTTCCTTCCCCCTTTTTCTTTCCCTCCCTCTTTCTCTCCTTTCTTCCTTCTCTACCTCCTTCCTTCCTTCCTTCCTTCCTTCCTTCCTTCCTTCCTTCCTTCCTTCCTTCCTTCCTTCCTTCCTTCTCTCTTTGCTTTCATGCTTCCTTCTCCCTTTCCTTATTTCTTTCCTCCTTTCTTTCTTTCTTTCTTTTTTCTCTCCCCTTCCCTCCCTAGAATCATAGAATCAAAGAGTTGGAAGAGACCTCATGGGCCATCCAGTCCAACATCCAGTCCCTCTTTCTTCCCTTTTTTTCTGTATTGTCATTTAGCTTTTCATCATTTAGCTTTTGGGGGCTTTTAAGTCCCTTCTGCTGTGTTTTTCAGTATTTTTATGAGTGAAGAACATACATTGGGTTGTTAGGTGTATACCGTCCAAATTTGGTGTCAATTCCCCCAGTGGTTTTTGTGTTCTGTTGATCCCACAAACAAACATTACATTTTTATTTATATAGATTATTATTATTAATCTCTTCACAGATTTGGGGTTCGCTTCCCTGCCATGTCAGATGCCTACGACCAGGACGTGAGGAAGCTGGCCCATACAGTGGCGTCTGAGATGGGTTGTTCTGGGTGCTTTCGCGAAGGTGTCTATGTTGCCTTAGGAGGCCCCAACTACGAGACCATTGCTGAATGCCGCTTCCTGCAGCGACTGGGTGCCGACGCAGTAGGTCAGTTGTGGGCAGAGTTCAAAGGAAATTATTGCAGTGATATCTATGGCTAGGCTTAGCTCAAAGAAATGATGGAAAGATGGTTCCAGAGTTTCTCCTTCAGCCCTCATGATGGTCTAAAACTTTGTGGTTGTACCTTGTGAGTCTTTGCATGTCTTACATGCATCTACAGGCAGTCCCCAGGTTATAAACACTAGAAGTTCTGTAGGTTTGTTAGGTTTGTTCTTAAGGTGAGTTTGTATGTAAGTTGGAACACTATGTAAGTGTAACTCCAGCCAGAAAAAATATTTTAAACTTTGGATAGCATGTGGTGTTTGTTTTGTGGTCTGTGCCCCAGTTCAGAAAATTTTACTTCATTTTCTGTCCCTGTGATTATTGAATTTTGAAAAATTTGGCTTGTTGTACAAATAAGGATTAGTGGAAACACCTTTTCCCCTTGATAATAACTCTTTCAGGAGTGAAATTCCCTTTTTAGGGGTAGATTCCTCTCACTTCTGGTTGTCTCGACCCTGTTCTTAGTTGTGAGTCACTTCTAAGTCAGATGTTTGACTTAATATTTTAATTAATGGAGCTTGGCTCAATGCTAGGGCATCCTGAGAGTCGCACTAGATGATGCACCGGCTGACATCTAAAACTAAAGACTACAACTCTCAATAGCATTGAGCCATGGTAATTTAAAATGCCGTGAAAACTGCATTAAGCCTACAGTGTAGATCTGAAATGAGCAAACGTCAGCCCTTCAGGTGTTTTGTGTCAGAAATATTGAAAATTAACTATGTATTTTTAATTACAAAAATGTGAGTTAAGCACTGAAAGAGATAATGGATGCAATAACTCAGCAAAAGCTACAGTTCTATATAAGCAGGTGTGCCTTCAGTCTGTGAGAGGTCTCTGTGGGAGAAGAGCCTCAGTGTATTAGTAGGCCTCCTCTATGAGAAGGCCTCAGTGTTAGTTTGCCTCAGTGGGAGAAAGGACCCAGTCTGAGAGAGCCCTCAGTGTGTGAGAAGACTTCAGTGGGAGAAAGACCTCAGTGTGAGGTAGGCCTCAGTTTTAGTTGGCCTCGCTATGTGAAGGCCGTGTGAGAGAAGCCTCAGGTTGAAGGCCATCGTTTGAAGGCTGCTGTGTGTAAAAAGCTACTGTGTGAATCTGCTATGTAAGTTTGTTGTGAGAAGAGACTCTTTGAGAGTGAAGTTATTTATTTGCATGAGAAATACGCCCAGCATGGAAACAAAGAAGGAAGTTCTATATAAGCAGGTGTGCCTGTAGCTTAGTACCTTCAGTCTGTGAGAGGTCTCTGTGGGAGAAGGGCCTCAGTGCATTAGTAGACCTCCTCTATGAGAAGGCCTCAGTGTTAGTTTGCCTCAGTGGAAGAAAGGACCCAGTCTGAAAGAGCCCGTAGCTGTGAGAAGACCTCAGTGGGAGAAAGACCTCAGTGTGAGGTAGGCTTCAGTGTTAGTTGACCTCGCTATGTGAAGGCCGTGTGAGAGAAGCCTCAGGTTGAAGGCCATCATGTGTGAAGGCTGCTGTGTGTAAAAAGCTACTGTGTGAATCAGCTATGTAAGTTTGTTGTGAGAAGAGACTCTATGAGAGTGAAGCTATTTATTTGCATGAGAAATATGCCTAGCATGGAAACAAAGAAGGAAGTTCTATATAAGCAGGTGTGCCTGTAGCTTAGTACCTTCAGTCTGTGAGAGGTCTCTGTGGGAGAAGAGCCTCAGTGCATTAGTAGGCCTCTGTACGAGAAGGCCTCAGTGTTAGTTTGCCTCAGTGGGAGAAAGGACCCAGTCTGAGAGAGCCTGCAGTTGTGAGAAGACCTCAGTGGGAGAAAGACCTCAGAGGGAGAAAGGCCTCAGTGTGAGGTAGGCCTCAGTTTTAGTTGGCCTCACTATGTGAAGGCCGTGTGAGAGAAGCCCCAGGTTGAAGGCCATCATGTGTGAAGGCTGCTGTGTGTAAAAAACTACTGTGTGAAGCTGCTGTGTAAGTTTGTTGTGCGAAGAGACTCTGTAAGAGTGAAGCTATTTATTTGCATGAGAAATACGCCCAGCATGGAAGCAAAGAAGGAAGTTTAAAGAACTTTTATTTGTGTTATGGAAGCCTTGTTCTTGTAAATAATGCAATTATATTATTTTGCTATAAAGAAAAGTCTCCTATGGAAGAGATAACATTGGTCTGTGTGTTTTTGTTTGTTTTATGACTTTGGGCTACTGGTGCTGTGTCACGCTGCTACTAATAAGTCACTCTCCTGTACATTTATGAGGAGGTTCTTTTGTTAATAAGCCCACTTGCCCAACATTTAGGACTTCAGCTCCCACAATTCCTAACAGCCTGCTGTCTCTTAGGAATTGTGGGAGTTGAAGTCTAAAACACCTGGAGGCTGAAGTTTGCCCATGCTGGGATAGATACACTCTTGGATATGCTGAAGAAGACATGAAAGCCATTGAGGGACTCTATTGGAGATGTCCTCCAACTCTTTTCCTCTTCCCTGCAGGCATGAGCACGGTCCCCGAGGTGATTGTGGCCCGCCATTGTGGCATGCGTGTCTTTGGCTTCTCCCTCATCACCAACAAGGCTGTCCTGGACTACGAGACCAAGGAGAAGGCCAACCACGCCGAGGTCCTGGAGGCCAGCAAGCAGAGCGCCCGCACCCTCGAGAAACTGGTTTCCCTGATAGTCCAACGCATCGAGCACAACAACAACGTGAAGTGATGCATGGAGAGAGAGAGAGAGGACCTCCAGCTTTGCGCAATGAAGAATCATTCACACCTCAGCATGTCGACTCTTCCCTCTTGCTTCCCTCGCTTCCTTCCCAAAGATCCGTCATGGTCAAATCCAGCTGCTACGTTATTTTGTTTTGCTGTCAGCTTGTTTTCTGTCCTGCTTCGGTGGCAGAAGAGCTTTCGCCCCAATGAATTGTCCTTCTGTTTGTGCAGTTGACCTGTGGTGCAGTGTTGGTCCATCTCTGTTTGCCTCCCTGTAGCTTTAGAACCTTGTTGTTTCTGGTTGTTTGTATTGCAAGACTCTCCCTCCTTCTCCCCAGAGTAGTGCCAGGTATCAAAATCACGTGGGTCTTGCAACAGCTCACCTTTTAAATCACCTTCATATATATTTTTTAAAAACTAATAATTTGAAATTGCAGGATGTGAGTTTGTGAAATTCTGAAGGAGTCTGCTTCCCATTTCAAAGAGCTCATATCAATAGGTAAATAAAATCAGAACCAGGATAATCAACAGTTTCCAGTGCCACTGCCAGGGTTTATTTGCCCAAACGTAGAGTTACGTAAAGTTAGACTTCAAAGCTCACTTGATCCAACCTCTTGGATGTGTGCCTCATTCCTTTTTGTCCCACAAACAAGAGCTGGCCTCCCATATTTGAAGTATTGTCCATTTGTCTTTTTTATGGTAGGGATGTTCTGTGTATAATCCACTTGTCTGTTTGATCTTTTAGTCTCTCTTCCTCCACACCCTTTACAGCTTATTTCTGAGGCCTCTTCTACACTGCTATATAATTTTCAAAGCAGATAATCCACATTGTCTGCTTTGAACCAGATTATCTGAGTCTACACTGACATAATCCAGTTCAAAGCAGATCATCTGGATTTAATATGGCAGTGTAGAAGGAGCCTGAGGCTCCTTCCACACAGCTGAGTACAATCTCCCATTATCTGCTTTGAACTGGAATGAATATATGTCAGTGTAGACTCCAATAACCCAGTCCAAAGCAGATATTGTGGGATTTTCTGACTTGATATTCTGGGTTATATGGCTGTGTGGAAGGGCCCCGAGAGGGCCTTATGGACAGGGATCTTTTCAGCCAACAACTTAAAAGGATCTCATTTTGTCCAATAATAATAATAATAATAATACAACAATGGCTTGTTGTAGGTTTTTTGGGTTATATGGCCATGTTCGAGCGGCATTCTCTCCTGATGTTTTACCTGCATGTATGACAAGCATCCTCAGAGGCTGTGAGGTGACCTCACAACCTCTGAGGATGCTTGCCATAGATGCAGGCAAAACGTCAGGAGAGAATGCCTCTAGAACATGGCCATATAACCCAAAAAACCTACAACAACCCAGTGATAATAGCCATGAAAGCCTTGGCAATACAACAACAATAATAATAGGAAAAGCTTACGCAGTATGAGGATTTAAAGATTGAACTGCAAAGATTCTGGCACAAGCCAGTAAAGGTGGTCCCAGTGGTGATCAGCCTGGGTGCAATGCCTAAAGACCTTGGCCTGCACTTAAAAACAATCCGCGCTGACAAAATTACAATCTGTCAGCTACAAAAGCCTACCCTACTCGGATCTGCACATATTATTTGCCGATAATTTCACTTGGGAAGTGTCTGACATGTGGTCAAATACAAAAGCCAGCATAGTTGTCTTGTTTGCTGTGTACTAATCTTGTTGTGAATCAAATAATAATAATTTATTTATAACTTTCCCTATCTCATGACAGTTTTGTCCCAAATCCAGTGAGCCAGGGCTTCTTCCTGATGCAATAATCAACATAAGGCCTTGAAATAAAAATGCACAAGCCCTGCCTGTAGACAATTAGTATACCATGGAGAAGGAGGATGTGTCAGCTTTGTGTGCAGTTGACTTAGAGGAGGATTCAGTGATCTGAGCCTGAAACTTTTCTGTTACCTTGTGAGAAATAAGTCCCCCAGTCCATTGTTATGTCTGTAGCTCATCTTGATCTTTTCAAAAAGGTAAATGGGATTGTTTTAAAAGTATCATCCTAACCAAAAGAGCCCCTTTTTTCCCTCAAACCTCGAAGGTGATATTCTCACTTTCCAAATCCCCCAACCTTTGCAGCTAGATTTCTAATAGAAGTGCCTGGTAAGAGACATCACTGAGAGACACCTTTCGCAGCCAGTGTGATTGGGCTGTGGGTTTTTGCAATGGACAATTGGGAATGGACCATTGCACCTTATGGCACGTTTCAGGTCTAGGAATGCGAAGCATGCTACTAAAGAGCAATATCAGCAACGTGTACATTCCCAATAATCAAGAATTGGTGCATTTTTAAGCAGTGGCAAAGATGTGAGAACAAGAGTGGCTCATTCCCTTTTTGGTAGTGATTCCCTCCTCATGCATCCTATTTTCTGCATTGGAAAAAAAAATGCGCCCTTTAGGGCTCTTTTGACATGCTCAGGAATGCCCCACAAGGACCCAACAGCCTTTATTGTCCATATTATTTAAAGAAAACATTTATTGTGTCTGCCTGTTACTTTCCTGACTTATTCATACTCAGATATAATATGTAGACATGAGATAAAAAGTTTGACAATTCCTTTGCCCAACACCCATGCTTTGAGAGAGCTTTGCATCCAGCGGAGATGAGGCTAGGGTTGCCAATGGACCAAATCTGCTGTGCTCTTGTGTCTTTTGCACCCACTCAGTTTGCAGAATGCATTGAGTCAGGTTTTTTTTGCCCACCACAGTAGAAATGTATTGAATATTATCCTTAAACCTGTGCCCCTTTGGATGTTGTCAGACTACAACTCCCATTGTCCCCAACATGGACTTGATGGGAATCCAGCAATGCTCAGAGATCCAGACATTGGCCAACCTCGCTCTAAAATCCAATGTTTTTAGCTCCGACTTTGATGAAATTATGATATGGTAGCTTCTGTGCTTTGCAAACTGAGCTATACGTGTCTGAAACTTTTGTCTTACTTATCTTTGTTCCTACTGTAACCTCATAACTTTGCAAATGGCAGCTTTGTAATGCCAAGACACTGGAGGCAATGACCACGAATGTGCAAACGAAGGATATCGACTCAAGAGGCCCCAAAAGGTCTCAGCAGGTTCAGAAACATAGATATATATATATAAGTAATGTATGTATACAATATGAATATCTCTATTTTTTTAGAGGAGTATCAGCATTCTGCACTTTTTATTTTTATTTAAATGAATGAATGGAGCCCTGGTTTTATTAATTATAATATGAGTGAATAATAAAAAAAGTTGGAACACACAGATTGATGGTTTTATTTATTTATCGTGTCAGAAGCAAATTGAGAATACAGTTTGTTTATTTATTTATTTGAGGTATTTCTATCCCGCCTTTCTCAAGCCCGAAGGCGAGTCAGGGTGGCTTACAAAGGTAAAGGTTTCCCCTTGACATTACGTCCAGTCATGTCCGACTCTGGGGGGTGGTGTTCATCTCCATTTCTAAGAGCCAGCATTGTCCATAGACACCTCCAAGGTCATGTGGCCAGCATGACTGCACGGAGCCCTGTTACCTTCCCTTCAAAGCGGTGCCTATTGATCTACTCACATTTGCATGTTTTCAAACTGCTAGGTTGGCAGAAGCTGGGATGAACAGCAGGAGTTCACCCCGCTCCCCGGATTTGAACCTCCAACCTTTCGGTCAGCAAGTTTGGCAGCTCAGCGGTTTAACCTACTGCGCCATCAGGGGCTCCTGAGAATATAGTTGTAATGTATTAAAAAGATCACAAACAAGGTTAAAAACTTTGTCATTATACTAAATTTCCTTTGAACCGAAGCTGGCCACTTCAAGTGCCTCCAGTGTCTCTGTAAGAAGGTCCTCCATTGTGCACGTGGCAGGGCTCAGACTGCCTTGTAGGAAGTGGTTTGTGGTTTGCTCTTCTCCACAGTCGCATGTTGCAGACTCCACTTTTAACCCCACTTCTAAAGATTGCCTCTGCACCTTGGTAGTGTCAGAGTGCAATCTGTTCGCTTTCCAAATTGCCCAGTCTTCTGTGTTTTCAGGAGGGAGTCTCTCATCTCGTATCAGCCACTGATTGAGGTTCTGGGTTTTAACCTGCCACTTTTGGACTCTTGCTTGCTGAGGCATTCCTGTGAGTATCTGTAGATCTTAGGAAGCTGTTTCTTGATTTAAGTCATTGGCATACTGGCTGATATCCGAACAGAGGATGGGTCAGAGATGTCAATGCCTTGGTCCTCTCATTGCTGGCTGCTACTCCCCTGTGGATATCAGGTGGTGCAATACCGGCTAAACAGTATAATTTCTCCAACGGTGTAGGACATAGACATCCTGTGATAACGAGGCATGTCTCATTAAGAGCCACATCCACTGTTTTAATGTAATGAGATGTGTTCCACACTGGGCATGCATACTCAGCAGCAGAGTAGCAAAGCACAAGGGGAAGATGTCTTCATTGTATCTGGTTATGATTCCCAGGTTGTGCCAGTCAGCTTTCATATGATATTATTTCTAGCACCTACTTTTTGCTTGATAGCCAGGCAGTGCTTCTTGTAAGTCAGAGCACGGTCCAGAGTGACTCCCAGGCGTTTTGGTGTGCTGCAATGCACCAATGGGATTCCATCCCAGGTAATCTTCAGAGGTCAAGATGCTTGTCTGTTTTTACGATGAAAAGCACACGTCTGTGTTTTAGATGGATTAGGAATCAGCTGGTTTCCCCTGTAATAGGCAGTAAGAGCACCCAAAGCTTCGGAGAGCTTCTGTTCAACGATTTCAAAGCTCCCTGCTTGAGTGGTGATGGCACGATCGTCAGAATAGATGAAATTCTCTGACCCTTCTGGCAGTGGCTGATCATTTGTGTAAATGTTAATCATCATTGTTGTAGGTTTTTTCGGGCTGTATGGCCATGGTCTAGAGGCATTCTCTTCTGACGTTTCGCCTGCATCTGTGGAAAGCATCCTCAGAGGTAGTGAGGTCTGTTGGAACTAGGATGTCACCATGTCAGACTACACAGAGAAGCCATTGAAATACACAAGCATGTGGACAATTTCAACAGAAAGGAGGAAACCATGAAAATGAACAAAATCTGGCTACCAGTATTAAAAACCTCTAAAAGTGCAACAGCACAACAACAGAGAGGAAACAAACAAGGACATCTAATTACCTCTCAACAAAAGAATCCCCCAGCCACTGCCAAGCCATCAAATGCTAATGAAGGTGGTCAGCTGAAACATTCACACCTAGCTCCAGCAGACAAGAGTCCTTTGTCCCACCCTGGTCATTCCACAGATATATAAACCCTTTTTTCCTAGTTCCAACAGACCTCACTACCTCTGAGGATGCTTGCCATAGATGCAGGTGAAACGTCAGGAGAGAATGCCTCTAGAACATGGCCATATAATCCAGAAAAACCTACAACAACCCAGTGATTCCGGTCATGAAAGCCTTCGACAAGGCCTTCGAATATATATATATATATATATATATATATATATATATATATAGGGCAAATCTTGATTTCACCCTTTATGTATTAAGGAGTATAATTTTACTACACCATAAGATATAATGGGAATACAGGATTCCCAGATTTTGACATCCAGGGGGGAATCCTGCAAAACAACCCCAAGAAGGGCCAATGTTTATTTATTAGCATTGAATGGCCTTGCAGCTTCAAAGCCTGGCTAGTTTCTGCCTGGGGGCCCTTTGTTGGGAGGTGTTAGCTGGCCCTGATTGATTCTTGTCTGGAATTCCCCTGCTTTTTGAGTGCTGCTCTTTAATATTTACTATCCTGATTTTAGAAAATACTTCCAAGTGTCACTAGGTGGCGCCAGAAGCTACACATATTGAATAGGATGCCTGATGTCCTGCAATTCAACGTGGCACAAAATAATTGAGATTGGTATAGAATACTTTTAGAGAACTAGTTATCCTGTCTGGCTCGTTGGTCTAGGGGTATGATTCTCGCTTAGGGTGCGAGAGGTCCCGGGTTCAAATCCCGGACGAGCCCCATTTTTAGAAACTTTTCAAATCTTCCTGTTTGAAACTACTGAAAACATTTTTGGGAAACTCAACATTGCTTTTGATGCCATTTACTCTCCTTGAATTCATTCAATTTGATGTAGTATTTCCTACATTATCTGTATTCAAGAAGGGCCCTTTCAGCTTCAAAATATTGCTCTTGAGGCCCTATCTACACTGCCATATAATCCAGTTTTTGAATCCATGTTATCTGTTTTGAACTGGATTATATGGTCGTATAGACTCATATAATCCAATTCAAAGCAGAAAATCTGGATTCGGAAACTAGATTATATCGCAATCTGGATCCAGTCCGAGGGATGTTTCATATCTTGGATAGCTAATGCAGTCCTATATGCTTTTACTTGTGAGATGGATGGTGCGTTTACACTGTAGAATTAATGCAGTTTGACACCGCTTGAACTGCCATGGCTGATTGCTATGGAATAATCAGAGATGTAGTTTTACAAGGTTTTTCTCCTTCTCTCCAAAGAGTGCTCCTGTCCCACCAAAGTACATCTCCTAGGATTCCAAGGCAATTTAAGTGGTGTCAAACTGCATTAATTCTCCAGTGTAGATACACCCTAAGATGTCTGACATAGCTTGTCATTTCCCTCGCCTCTGTATCTTGCATTTAGCATGGTTTTATTATTGAACACTGGAAAGCAAAAACTGGTCTAATTTAAAGTTGATTTCACAGACATTTGTCTCCCTTTTTTGTCATGTCAGGAGTGACTTGAGAAACTGCAAGTCGCTTCTGGTGTGAGAGAATTGGCCGACTGCAAGGATGTTGCCCAGGGGACGCCCGGATGATTTGAGGTTTTTATCATCCTTGTGGGAGGCTTCTCTGGAGAGAAGGGAAGTGGGTGAAATATAAATAATCCATCTTCTTCTGAACAATCTGATTTGATCCTTGCTTCAAAGTGAAGAAGGAGGTCATGCACATTTAACTTTGGACGTCACTTCTGGATGACATTTTGGCCAACTTTCTATATTTTATGTTTTAGGATCATTGGAAGGTCAGAGTAATCAAGCTGCTTTGGTTTAGGAACATTTTGGGGCAAAACATTTTGAGGTTTGGTACAGCAGGCTAAACTGCTGTGCTGCAGAAAAATCCTGCTGATCTAAAGGTCAGCAGTTCGAGTGGCTGCCATTAGTCCTAGCTCCTCTGCCCACCTCTGCCCACCTACCAGGTTGAAAGCAAAAATGCAAGTAGATAAATAGGTACTGCTTTTAGCAGAAAGGTAATAAAGGCACGCTTAAGGACATCGATATAATAAAGAGTAGAGACATCAGACTGGCAACAAAGATCCGCCTAGTCAAAGCCATGGTATTCCCTGTAGTCACCTACGGATGTGAGAGCTGGACCTTAGGGAAGGCTGAGCGAAGGAAGATAGATGCTTTTGAACTGTGGTGTTGGAGGAAAGTTCTGAGAGTGCCTTGGACTGCGAGAAGATCCAACCAGTCCATCCTCCAGGAAATAAAGCCCGACTGCTCACTGGAGGGAAGGATACTAAAGACAAAGTTGAAGTACTTTGGCCACATCATGAGGAGGCAGCAAAGCCTAGAGAAGACAATTATGCTGGGGAAAGTAGAAGGAAAAAGGAAGAGGGGCCGACCAAGGGCAAGATGGATGGATGGCATCCTTGAAGTGACTGGACTGACCTTGAAGGAGCGGGGGGTGGGGACGGCCGACAGGGAGCTCTGGCGTGGGCTGGTCCATGAGGTCACGAAGAGTCGGAGACGACTGAACGAATGAACAACAAAATAAGGACATCGATTGGGAGGAAGCTCCTTGGCATGGAAGATGGAGTGACAGCACCCCCCCCCCCCCCCCCCCAGTCTGAAGTTGAGCACAGCCTCCAAAATGCCAAAAATAATATGGGGAAACTGCCTTTACATCTGTTTGTATTGTCTGTCCTTGTTAATTGTATAATCAGGCATTGGATGTTTGCCGTATATGTGTTCTGTAAGATGCTCTGAATCCCCTTCGGGGTGAGAAGGGCAGGGTATAAATAGTCTAAGTAAATAAATAAATAATTTCCCTGAATTAAAAATAATAATAACCTGGAGAGCTTTGGGAGACTCAAGGAACCACATCTAGATGTCCCAAGGCCCACAATTTTGGTTGCAATTTGGAAGAACCAAGTTTGAGACTGCTTTCCTACCAAGAATGTGGTCTGATGGTTCAAAACATCAGAAAAAATTACTTCTATATTGTAGGACACCACATTAGCAGGTTTAACTTTGTAAATTGGAATAGTTGT